ATAAAGTTCTGTCAGTACATTTTGATTTTGTAACATCTGTGATTTTGACAGTAAAGAATATTAAAATTACTGTCTCCTGGGATATGATCCCATGGAATCCAGTGGATAGATACTAATGTTACGGAGGAACCCACTGACATCGTCATAATAAAATGGAGGCGGCTCATTCCTCTGAAATGTAAGTCCATATCTACCGGAATGCTCTGTGTTCCATACCAGAAGACTTAATTTTAATATTCACCACTTTGAGAACCTGAAATCTCATACAGTGAAAGCAGCAGTCTCCGAAGATGGCGTTCTTGTCTCTTAAAATTTCTGCTTCTGTTTCAAGGCAAGTTTCACAGTAACATGAGCATGCATTTATCATTGCAGATTGTAATATCTTGCTTGAACATAGAATGTTAACTTTGTGTGTCAGAGTTGACAAAGTATTGAGTAAAACCTCTGCTTGTGATGACTGTTCACCTCATCTACTAGGATGTCCAAGCCTCATGTGGGGTGTTCTCCATACACAGTTTGCATAACCTGTAACTCTGGAGCTAAGGCAGTGCATTGGAAATGTTTGTCTGCCTTCATTACTTACCTTATTCCTTTGCTGTGGTCATCTAAGAACCTTGGCCTCTTTACCGTGGATGTCCATGCTTTTCTCATTTGCTTTCTGCTCCATCTTCTTTTTTTCAGCTCTCATAAATCATTCTCTACATTGTCCACCGACCTCAGTCTCGGCCTTCCTACTTTTCTTCTACTGTGTCACTAATTTTCAGCTCCACTTTTATTTTAATGATCATGTCCTGAATGAACTCAACACATTCCAAGTAGCAAGATAAATCTCATTGTCTTCATAACCTTTCCTTAACTGTTTCTTTAAATCATTGATCTGGCATCCATCATTAGGTTTGTTAACAGGTATTGTTTGTTAGCCTTCCCTCCAACTTGGAGAACCAGTGGCTACCTTTGATCTGACCCTTACCCTCTGACTTGTTAGCTTGGATGATCCTACCAGGACAGCCATCTTGGTGATCAGGGCAGGGCATGCAAACCTCACGCCACATTAAGGTCTCAAGGGGGTGTCTCTGGACATTGTGATGCTGACCAGAAAACTGTATAATTAGCCATGTAAGGTAAAGTTGTCCCTGTGCTTAATTAGTTAAGCGCTATGCCATGAAAGCATATGGGGGAGTAGAGGTACAGCTCCATCATTCTTGACCTTAGCACTAGATGGAGGTGAGTGGTCAGCTTCACGCCCCTGATGCTTTAATCCCAGGGAAAGAGTCCCGTGTACCATTGGATAGGAGGCTGGGTGGGCCCCAGAGCCGGTCTGGATCCTGTGGAGGAGAGGAAAATCTTTCACTGCCAGGAATCGAACCTGGGTTGTCCAGTCCATAGCTTGTTGCTATAGTGACAGAGCTATCCCAACTCCTAATTGTAGTCATGTAGGAAATATTTTAATTTTTCTATTCCAGGTAGCTAAGTCTGTATAATGACTAGGCAGAGGTTAGATGACCAAGGAATTTGGGTTAATTCTGAAAAGGACAAACAAAATCAAACTCTGTGACCTGTAGTCCGCAAGTGAACTATACCGACCAAGTGACCGTCACTCGTCGGCGAAGTTAGTGCCAACTTTTGTGGATAGAGGGTGTCCCGTGGTCAGCACAACAGATCCCCACAGCCGTTAATTTCGGGTTTCTAGACAGGAGCCGTTATTTCCTTGAAATAGCTCCTCAATTATCCTCACGAGACTAGTGGACCCCGTTGCAGACCCACTACTTTTCAGAAAATCTGGTAGCGCCGGGAATCGAACCTGGGACCTCTGGATGTGTAGCCAGGAACTGAAAAGTACTAGATATTTTATCTCTTGCAGCATCTATACCAGTTGTAGGGTGTATGACACCTCCATTAGGTAATAGGGCTTCCTTCTCAGGTGTTAAAGTGGTCAGACCATGAAGCTGACCACTGACCACCATCTAATGCCAAGGTTAAGAATGTGTGGAGCTATACTTATGTTGCCCCTATACATCTTCATTGCATGGTGCTTAATTAAGCACAGGGATACCTCTACCTGTACTATTTTACCATTTGAAGCAGAGTGAATTACTGACAGGCACTAGATCATATGGACATTAATTTTATAAAATGCACACTTCTTTGTGGAAATACATGTGAAATGCAACCCAGTGCAAACATGTTTCCATCTCCAGTGCATAATAGTAGCACTGACAAACTGAATATTTGAGATTGATGATCGTTGTCAGCTAACTACAAGACAGCACATCACTTATGCCAACAAATTTTGTGCATTTTTAATTTCTTTAAAAAATATAGTGAATTAAATACTTTTTAAGTTTTTTGCTGTTGATGAAGGTATGCCTAATTACCAGAAATCATGAGCTCTGAGATGTTTTAAATGCTTTAATATTACAATGTAACCTATTTCTGATGTTACTTGAAAAAAAAAATGTCCACTGTGGAAAGTGATAAATTATTTTTTGTGTGTTTACTTGTAGTTTCTTAGTACAGAATTGTACCTTTCACATTTGGAATGAATGGGATGAAAGACTTACAGTTACAGTAACAGTACATGCAGCCATATCAAGTTTGTTTATACCTGAAATTTTGTGTTGACTGGTCATGATATGATACATTTTGTTGATGGGATGAAACAACAGAAGCCTGAAAAAAAACTGCATAATGAGGAGCTTTATAAATTATAGTTCATGTATTATTAGAATGATCAAATCAAGGAGGAGGTGAGCAGGGCATACAAAGTTTGGATAGGAAAACGTGAAGGAAAGATCACTGGGTTGTGAAGGGTAGAGGAGGGTATGTTCAACATCCATAAAAACAAAACCTGGACAAGGATGTGTGTCATGCCTCTGTGCATGCCAGACCCTAGTCTTCTCAGCGAGGAGGCACCAAATGACAATGCAGGTGTCTGGCTAGACATTGTAATCTAATGAAGAGCCCAAACAGAGCTCAGTATTGATTCAGGGAGGTGTCTGTAATGCATCCTGTTCATGATGTATTACCACTCCATTACGTTTGGATGTTCATCATATTCTCAGGCACTGGGCAAAGCAGACCATTTAATCACAAGCGTTAAAGGAAGGAGGGGACGATATTCTCTCCTTCCATGACACATCATCACCTCAGTACCCTAGTTGATCCAGGATCTGAACGTATCCATCATCACAGTTCAGTCTTCCTTCTTGTGGGTATTTAAGGCTTTCCGTATTGAGACCATATAGCATCATATGGTATGATGACTAATGAAATGGAACAGATCTGGAAGGAAGCAGTCATGGCCTGATTAAAGTACTGCCCTGACATTCACCTAGAAAGACTGAGGAAAAGAACAATGTATTTCAGCATAGCTGGTGTCCTGAACAAAATTTGAACTGAGCACCTCCCAAATACATGTCTAAAGCATCATATGTAGATGAACCTGTTCTGTTATGTGCTGTTCCCCACAGAGCTAGTAGGAGAAGGGGCCTATCACCTATAGCACTATAGTCAAGTTTTTGGCGTATGTAAACAAACTGATAGAAATGGTGTTGCTGAATGGCAGAAAACAAAAATTGGTGTCTGTGTTATGGCAGGGTGAGTAAGCATAGTATATGATGGAATACCTGACTTGGCAATACAGCCAATGGAGAAAATAATTAGGGGAGAAAAGCAAAACAGTGGTTCAATGAGCAGTGTTATGTGCTCTCAGCAGACATTCAAGTCAATGCACAGTGCCAGAACAATGGGGTACACGTGGGTTGTTGACAGAAAAGAGTGTCCATTGAAGCGAAAGTTGTGAAGATTGCAGAAGTGGAAAGGGCAGGTCTTTTCCAAATGCTGAAGCCAAGGTAGCCCCATTTCTCCTGTGACAGCTCACTAGAAAATTGGCAGTCACTTCATGGGAATATTAAACATGGATCAGGACTGCGCCTTTGAAATCACTTCACAGGCCTATTTATGTGACAATTTCTGGCCGTTTTCCAGTCATAAAGTATAGGAAAAGTCGCTCAAATGAACAAAAAGCAGCAGGTCCCAGTGAGATATTCAGTGAGTACCTCAGCCAGTCATAGCATGTACTGTTAGAAACAGGGACACATCAGGTCAATGAATGCTTGAAGATCGCGTAATTACCGGAGTCGTGGAGATACACGTTGTATGTGTAAGACCACATGATTTTAGGAGCCAATATCAGGAGAGGTGCAGGATGCCTTTGACACAATCGTTCTGAGAAAACAATTCAATGCTTCTCGGAAAAGGAGACTCTCCGAAAATTATCATACAAAATACGGGAAGGAGTATTTATAAACAATGAAACTATCTAATCCTCGTTAACTGCTTTCGAGATGCATGTAAATGACAGATCAAGAGCAACTCGTGGCATTCGGAACCGTTGGGAACGTTTGCTTGCTCTCGCTTCGAACTGCGACGACGCTCTTCAACCTTAAGATAGTACAGTTAACACATGGAAAGGAAACGATTTACAAATACTGGGAAGCGTCAAAACGAACATTCTGGAAAACAGTTTCTGTGTATCGAAACGTATTGCGTCACGTATTGTATACTTCCTAGCCAGGTAAACTCTTCCCAACGTGTTGCGACACAACCTTCCGCTACCACGTACCCTGGAATCAAAGAGAGTACAGTAGGTACAGTAGGAGTGCGAAAGTTGTTCCATGCAATGGATTCAGCGACCTATCGGATCTAAAAATTGCGGCATATAACTCAACTGCAAATGTTATCCACCACAACGAAGCCCCACCACACTCCGGGAGGAACTTGCATTAGTGTACTGTGTGATAAAATATGCATAAGATATCTTACAGCAAACTGTGAAAAGAACTCTACTATGACTTACAATAACGAGGACACTTAGCTATAAAACCCAACAATTGTGCACATTCTGCACTTCGCCAATTTTCAATTACTGGAAGGGAATTTTATTTCCAAGATTAACTGTGATTGGTGGACTTCGTTCCTGGCAGTTCACTAGCAGCGCTCGGAAGCTCGGAAGCACTGGGAAGGCTCGGAAGGAAGGTAGATTTGTTTTCCGGAGGACTTGTTTAAAGTTTTGGTATTTGTTGTGCTGCTGCTGTAACGTTTGAAAATTAAAATCTGAAATTGTCGGAAGGGCCATCCAACGCAATTCATGGTGAGTTGTTTAAACTGCGGAGATTTTATTGTGAAATAATCATCTAAGCACATGCCGTGAATCGAGTAGTAAACGGTCTATTTAGCCGGCAACTACAACCGATATATTCTCACATATATGTTTTATTAAAATATTAATTTGATAATTATGTGTGTTCAGTTAGCAACTGAATTACTAGTATTATTGTTAAGAACTCTAATCGTATTGAGTATGAAAACGAACTAAATTTAATATTCAAAAATATAAATGAATGGTTCAAGGTTAACTTACTGACATTGAATCTCGATAAAACGTTTTTATGCATTTCTCAACCAAGAATAGTAATACAGTGGACATACCTATCATTTATAGTAACAGTCAAATTGCTACAACCATCATCATCATCATCATCATCATCATCATCACTGGCACGACAGCCCTTTGTGAGCCCTGGCCTTCCTCAGGATTGCTCGCCATTCTTCTCCATTCGATGCTACATTCCTCCAGTTCTTTACACCCAAAATTCTTATATCCTGCCACACACGTTCTTCCCATCTTAACCTTGGTCTTCTCACTCTCCTATTTCCTTCTGGTTTGGTGTTAAGCATTTTCTTGATGGTTCTATTCTCGTCGGCACGTATTATGTGTCCAGCCCATTCAAGCCTTTTCATCTTTATAAATCCAATAATGTCTGGTTCATTAGTTTGTATAGCTCATGGTTATACCCCTTCCTCCATATTCCATTTTCTTCCACTGGTCCAAAGATATATCTCAAGATACTCCTTTCAAATATGCTTAACAGTCTTTCATCCAATTTTGATAGTGGCCACGTGGCATAAGATAGCACTGATCTTATAAGTACTTTATACATCATAGTTTTGGCTTTCCTGGGTATTAATTGGGATTTCAGGTGACATTTATTTGCTGCAAGTACACGCTTTTTTATTTCATCACTGATATCATTTTTACAGTTAACTTCTGATCCAAGGTAGGTGAAACTGCACACAACCTCAAATTTATATGAGCCAATTTCAATATATGTAGGTCCATTAGCACAGTCTTTCTTGGTTACTGGCATGTACTTTGTTTTATTTTGGTTAATTTGTAGATTCATCTTTTTTGCTGCTCTTTCCAAATTAAGAAAAGCTTCTTTCATAGATTTTTGTGTTCTACCAATTATATCAATATCATCTGCAAATGCCAAAATTTGAACTGACTTGTACAATATAGTTCCCCTTGTGTTGATGCCTGAATCTCTAACTACCTTCTCTAATGCTATATTGAACAAAAGGCAGGCTAGGGAATCCCCTTGTCAAACTCCATTTCTAGTTATTATAGGGCTGCACAACATATTCTGAATCTTAATTTGGCATTGGGTCTTCCTCATAGTGGCTCTGACTAAGGCGATTACTTCCGTGGAATGTGCATCTCTTCCATTGCCAGAAAAAGACTATCTCTATCTATGGAGTCATAGGCTGATCGGAAGTCAATGAAAAGATGATGTGTTTCAATTTGGAATTCATTACACTTTTCAAGGACCTGTCGAATAGTGAAAATCTGATCGTTAGTTGATCTTCCTTGACGAAACCCACATTGGTAATCCCCAATTATGCCTTCCACAAAGGGAGAGAGACTGTTAAACAGAATGTTGGAAAATATTTTATATGCTGTGCACAACAGACTAATTCCTCTATAATTAGAGCATACCATGACATCGCCTTTCTTATGGATAGGGCATACAATACTTACGTTCCATTCCTCTGGGATTATTTCTGTTATCCATATCTTAACTATTAGCTGATGTAAGTGCTTGGCATATTCTGGGCCTGCAAATTTCACTAATTCTGCCGTGATGAGATCCATTCCTGGAGCTTTATTATTTTTCAAATTTTTGATTGCTTGTTCTACTTCTTTTATTGTTGGCGCTGGCTCTTCAGCCTCAAAATTTCCTAGAGTCCGGTCTATGGTCATACCTTCCACTTGTTCAGAGACGTTACTATTTAATAATTCTTCAAAATATTGCGCCCATCTTTCCAGTATTGCTTCATCGATACTCAATATTGTGCCTTCTTTATCTATACATAAGGTTGTTCTAGGTTGAAAGTCCTTTTGACTTTTGTTTAGTTTTTGATAAAACGCTCTGATTTCGTTTGAACTTCTTAAATGCTCCAGTTCAATCAGTTCTTGTTTGTCATATTCCCTTTTCTTCTTTTTATGCAATCTTTTTTCTTTTCTTCTCGCTTCACGGTATTCTTCCACGGCCCCTCGAGTATGGTCCCTTTGCTGCATTCTCTTATATGCCTGGTTTTTTTATTTGTCACTTGCTCACACTCTCCACCAAACCAATTCTTATACTTTATCCTTTCCATTCTTCCTAAGACTGCACCAGGAGCATTTATAATAACATCTCTGAGGCCCCTCCAAGCTTCACTGACATCCTCACTATCAGAGAGACCTGCCAGGCATTCACCAATTAATCCAGTATATCTGGTTGCAACTCCTTGTTCCACCAATTTTCCACAATTCAGTTTCTTAGCCTGGGATCCATGTATCTTCCTTGCATTAGATATTCGACTTCTAATCTTTGATATTATTAAGTAATGATCAGAGTCAGTGTTGGCTCCCCTGTAGCTCCTGACATCCATCAAATCTGAACAATGTCTTACATCTATTAGGATGTGATCGATTTGATTAAACACATTTCCATCAGGGGATTTCCAGGTTCGTTTATGTATATCCTTGTGATTAAACATTGTACTACCTATTACCATGTTTCTTGAGGACGCAAAATTTATTAATCTCATCCCATTATCATTTGACTTGTTATGTAGGCTATGTTTTCCAATAACCGATCTATATACATCCTCATTCCCCACTTTGGCATTCATGTCCTCTATGATTATTTTACAGTCCCTTTTTGGACAGTCACTATATATTTCATCCAGTTCATCATAAAAGGAGTCTTTCTCCTCATCACTTTTATCTTCAGTTGGGGCATGTGCACAAATAAGGCTATAGTTAAAAAACTTTCCCTTAATTCGTAGCCTACATGTTCTGTGAGATTTTGCCTGGAAGTCTAAAATAAGATGCTTCCTTTTTTATTAACAATAAAACCTGTTCCAAACATGTGACTCTTCTTCTGACAACTATAAAATACAACATGATCCCTCTTTTCCATGACTCCTTTACCCAACCACCTCAGTTCTTGTATAGCAGTGATATCTAGTTTATAGCTATCTAGTTGTTCAAGTAGCATTTTTAGTGCTCCGGCTCTGTAAAGAGATAATACATTCCAAGATCCAGTTCTCAAATCCTTTAAACATTTTCCAGGTCGTCTTGAATAGATCCGTCCGGCTACTCTTTCCTCGGATTTCTGAACAATTTAGTTTTTACAGTGTGAGGTCGTTAGCCTCACGCCCAACCCCCAACTTGGAGGACCAGGGTATCCCTCTCTGTCTGGCTCCTACCCCTTGACCTGTCCGGCATGGGTGGCCCTACCAGTAGCTACGCTACCGCCGGCATAGCTCTCAGGGTCTCAGGAGCTCTCAAACCCCATCACCACGATAAGGTGGAGATACCATTGGTGGGGAATTGCTACAACCGTTTCTATTAAGTTCCTCGGTCTGGTGATTGATGATACCCTATCATGGAAAGGACACATTGACTGGGTTCAGCCTTCTATGCAGTTAGGGCTATTAAACCCTATATGTCAATAGAATCAATGAGATCGGTATATTTTTCATATTTTCATTCTATTATTCATACATACATACATACATACATCAGCGTTTCAGAGTATTCACAAGTGTGCAACTGGCACTGAATATAAAACTTGTCAAACAACAGTCACAAGAGAATCACAGATAAAATCGCAGACCTCAAATAAATAGATACAATGTAAGTTTTGAGGTTTTCACGGCGATGACAATGAAGAAAGTTGTCTTCTGGGTTTAGGCACCGTGTATTCTTCATTTTGGCCGACGTTTCGGAGCAGTCGCTGCGACTGCTTTCCGCAGCTATTCAACTGCTCTGAAGATGGAGGC